TATAAGAGACAGGTATTAGGGTAGTCGCCACTACGCCAAATTCAGAAATTGGGGTTGTCGCGGAAGCTGTCACAACCCCGATTTAGCCAGTAAGGTTTGTGAGCATGCGCAGATGTCTGTTACGCTCTATTAGTTCGTAGTAGACTGGCCGCGAAGTCAAAACGAAAAATGCCTACTAACATTTAATAACATCCAAGAAGGTCACAGTTAGTTACACACGTACATCCCAAAGTCCGTGAGATTTCATAGGCCTACCGTAGGTAAACATAGAAAGAGCAATACAGCAATAGTAAAACTCGAGCGTCACGACATTGCGAAGTGTCTGATCTTGTTCCTCGTATCGTACTCACTCGAGTCAATCCGAGATGGCCCGAGTGAAGTTTCATGTAAATGTTTCGTACGGGAAAAAATCGCTTCCGGGACCTCCGATTGTCGGCAAATGTCTGGAACAGTACCACTGGTCCACATTTGTTGATGATTTCAAGAAAAAAAAATAAGATAAACATAAATTGCTCATTTAAAACAATATGATAAACTTAAAATTTATGTAGGCCTACATTATAACTAATATAACTAACTGCATTAAAGTAAAAAAACTCAAGGGTAAAAGTAATACCGTATTTATTCCTGGGATCACTCAAAATAAATACTTCTAAACATGTAAATATGCATCAGTACACGTTATCATAGGCCTAATAGAACACATAGGCCTAAGCGTGATTTAAAAGAATCTTAAATCCATAAATCTCAGGACAGGTATTTTAAGATAAAAATGCGATACTGTGGTTCAATTTCGTTTTTATCATTTTGCAAGCTTCTTTAAATGTTTGTTTAATAATACTACTAATAATAATACAAGAATAATACTACTAATAATACATTTCATACTGTAATTTTATTAGTCAATTTGTAGAGTCTTAGTTCATTCAAAAACAGCTTATCGCAATCTTTACTTCATAATACCTAAGTGACTTTTTTTCTGCCAGCGGGGTGGGTTAATTCCTTAATTTGTGTGTGTGTGTTTCTGTTTGACCTTTGTTGTCCGTTTTTTTTTACCTTTGTTCTGTCCGTTTTTTTTTTTTTTTTTATGTGTTTTCTTCTTTCGTGTTTTGTCTGCTTTGTTTTCGATTATTTTGTCTTGTCTATGTGCTTGTGTTGGATCTGTGTTTTGTCTCCTTTTGTATGTCTGCTTATTTATTTTTTATTTATTTATTTATTTTTTTTTTTTTATTCTTTTATTTTTATTTTTTTTTTTTCGCAACTCTTAGCTTAAGATGTCATTCGCAATATTTTTATAAAAAATTTTACCTATTCCGATTTTTTAATGTAATTTTATCAATCATTTACTTGTTTTGCATTTGTTTGTTTATTTTCTTATCTGGATTTTTTTTATCTGTATTTTTTTTTTTGAACTTGCAATTTTTAGCTTAAGATATAATTTTGTGCAATTTTCTTGTAAATTTCTCTATTCCATTTCATACTGTAATTTTATTAGTCAATTTGTAATTTAGATGTAATTTTTATTTGTAAATTTTTCTTTTCCTTTTTATACTGTAATGTTATTTATCAATTTATCTTTCGCTTGTTTGTATTTTTCTACATATTTATATGTATTATAAGACATCCTGTAATTGGCTTCCGCTGTTGGATGATTTTCGAAATAAATAAATAAATAAATAAATAAATAAATAATAGTAATAATAATAATAATAATAACAATGATGATGATGATAGTAATAATTTATATTAATATTAATGACAATAAAAAGTGAAGAAAATTGTGCCAAATGCGTTAAAAAGTTGTGATTTGTTGATCATAATATAGTATATATAGTTAAAGCTTAGTAATCTATAATTAGGCCTAAGTTGTCCTGGATATTAAGTAGATCCCTGATAAAAGATCATGAGAAATTTGTTGGCGTTTCATTTTGACTATAATGGTAATGTGATGATGATGAATTTTACTATAAAAAGTGTCATTTCCGGCCATCTCGAGAGACACTATTTCCTCAAATTTTCTCACCTCAGCCCCAGCCATGGTGGTTCTGAAATCACGTTTTTGAAGAAGCACTATGTAAAGTACATACTCAAAGACAATGTTTTTAAGCTTTGTTTTCTATGCTATACACACACAAGATCTCTATGGTTGTCAAAAATCCATGATAATAATAATACTAATAATAAAAGATCATGAGAATTTTTTTGGCGCTTCATTTTGACTAATGATGATATGATGATGATGAATTTTACTAAAAGTGTCATTTCTGGCCATCTAGAGGTACTATTTCCTCAAATTCTCTCACCTCAGCTACAATCATTGTGGGGCTGAGGTGGGTGTCGACTCTTAGTGGCTGCTGTTTGTTTTTAGGATGTGATCTGGTTTTTCAATCACATTTTTCGTGATTATGACTATTCTGGATAAAGAATGTTTTGAGCAGAGGTGGATTCAAGGCACTCCCCCTCCCCCCCTTCATTTTTTAAGGAAAAAAGAAGAAAAATATATTCAAATTGAAGTGCGAGAGTGTAATTTCCGGCCATCTAGAGATGCCCTAATCATAAATTTTCTTACCTCAGCCCCAACCATGGTGGGGCTGAGGTGGGTGGTTCCAGGGGCGGATCCAGAGATGTCCAAAAGGGGGAGGGGGGCGAAATTTGGGCCGATCGAGACAGCAATGATCATGAGAAATTTTTTTGGCGCTTCATTTTGACTAATGATGATATGATGATGATGAATTTTACTAAAAGTGTCATTTCTGGCA